CAACAACACACTGATAACATATGTTCACCTCTTGGAATAACTATTCGAAAAATATCTCTATAGACAATACAATGGATTAAATATAGTATACCAACTAATAATATTATATATTATCAAATCTAGATGAGTTTTAACCACTCTAGTAGATTTAGGTTGCAGATAAAATAGTCTGAGTCTCATTTTTGTAAAAATTTGTAAAATTTGGCTTTGGCCAGAGAAACCTCTTGTGGATTCTCAATCAAATTATTAAATAAAGATAAAGGCAAAACCTCACTTTAAAAAAAAAAAAAAAAAAAAGTTGTATTGCAATTTAATGCTATTTTCTTTTTAGTTTAATTTTTATAGACTAATTACTGATACTTTTATTCCAGTTTATATATAGTAAACAAATATTCCTTGAGTTTCTATTCTTTAATTGTACTAATAGTTTAAAAATGTTGCAAGAAACTTTTAAGAATGTATTGTTAAAAGAAATTTTTAAATAATATCTATTGGCTTATAGTTAAAAAATGTGAGATATAAAAGAGAATTTATTAAATTTTTCAATGAAATATCTTTGTATCCATCTTTTTGTCACAGTTTTGGGCTTAATCACTATAAAAAAATTATAGTAATATAGCAAATAATAAAATATATTACAAAATTTGTATTTAAAGGCATCTTGTCTGCCTTGCCTCCCGATATCTAACATCTAACTCTTAAAAATGAGTTATTAAATATTTATTAAATTATCTGCAATAAATACTTAAAAAAAGGTTATTTGTATATACAAAGTGTGCAAAGATGAAAAAGACTCCTGCAATCCTCAAACAAAAGATATCCATATTGCAAATATAGAATATATGAAGAATTAGTAGATTCTGCTGAACCTGGAGATAATTTTCTTTCTTTTACAGTTTCTCAAACAGAGGCAGTAATACATCTCAAACTACTATTCCTTCCTTTACTTTAATTGATTTTAGTCTTTAAAAAGAATTATTTCTTTAAAAAAAAATCATTTTTTAACTAAAAACAATGGAAAAATGTGAAAGCTATAATTAGAGAACAACCTGATATTACTATAGTTCTTGAGCCTTTAAATATTTCTAATGATGAAGAAGAAGTCACAAAAATAGAGCCTGAAAGTAATGATGACAAAACCATAATGGATTATTTTGCTCCTAATATTGAAAACAAAGATGAAGAAGAATTTAAATATATTGATAATTTTGACAATAGCTTTGGTTGAATATTAATCTGAATTCTAAGATATCAACAAAGATATTAGTTATCTGATATAGCAACAGAATTATTAGTTAAATTTATTTATTATCTATTGACATATCTTGATTAGGATCAGTTTAAAAACTTTTCTAAGTCACCCTATTTAGCCAGAAAGTTAATGAGTTTAGGTCTACACATAAATAATTATGCAACTTGTTCAGTATGTAATAAGTTGTATAAACCTAGTAAAGTAATAACAAAAAAGCCTGAACAAATCTCAATATATTTATATTGTACTTTTGTAAAATATCCTAATTATCAATATCTAAAATAAGACAACTATATAATCAACAATTAGCAAAAGAGGTATCTACAAAGGATGAAATATTGTTTCATCCTTTGCTTACTTATCCAACAATAAATATTAAAGATCAGCCTATATTATTATATAGCTAAACTAAATTTGAAGAATTATGTAGAAAATGGGTTAATAAAATATAAATGATAATTATCTTGCTAATATTTATGATTATAATATATAAAAGAATTTTAAAAATCAAGATGAAGATTTCTTTACATTAGTACATTTTGGTCTTAAGATTAATTTGGACTGGTTTAGTCTCTTCAAAAATTCTGTATATTTTACTAATGCAATATATGCAGTTATTTGTAATTTGTCCCATGAACTCAGATTCAAGCCTCAAAATATAATTATTCTGGCATTGCTACCAGGACCCAAAGAAATTAAATCACATTAAATTAACCATTATCTTGCACTTTTGGTTGATCAATTGCTTGAATTGTGGAATGGAGTAGAAATTCACACAAATGAATCTCCTACATATAAAAAAAATTAAATGCACTATTATATGCTACTCATTTGATATTCTAGTAGCCAAAAAGTTATATGAATAAATATCAGCAAAAATTGCATATTTTCAATGTAAAAAATATGCACCGTTTAATGCTAGACATCAACTTAATTTTGGTAGATTTTCAGATATGAATGACTAGTTTGTAGAGCATAATATTGAGAAAATTAAAAAAGATGCATATAATTGGCTTCAGTACAAGACTAAGGATCAAAGAAAGAAACACCTTTCTGAAAACTTGGTGAACATATGTTATCAGTGTGTTGTTGATCTGATAAGCTACAAAGGCAGCTATAGGTATTGGTTATTCTGTAGTGGTTGTGTGTTCTGTTAGTAATATTAGTGGTTTGTTGGTTTTGGTTCTGTCCTTGATTAGGTCGAGTAGAAATATTGTTTTGTTGTTTCCATTCTGATAATTTTATACAATGCAATACAACTTTTTAAAATAAGCATAAACCTATTGTACAATGCAAATCTAATAAAATAAGTAATATAGGTACAATTTTCAGAGATCACTAGCAACATGTCAATATTTATTTCAGTAATATTAACTGAAAAGATTTGAAATTAGTTTTAAAATATAATGAATATAGCTAATATAATTACAGACAGATTTATTAAAAATAATAGTATTCTAATTAGTTAATAGATTTTTAATATCTATTTTCTCAGAAAACCAGAAAATTATAATACTAATAATAGATAAAATCAGTTAGCCTATCTTATAAGTATTAATATCATAATTGATATAAATATAACTATATATCTATAAAAAAAGGCATCTAAATATTAAAACACTAATTTGTAAAGCTTAATAAGATTATAATTAAGTTGTATCTTAATATCTATATCAGCATTATTAATGCTTTAATTTCAGATCATTACCGATATATATCTAAATAAATAAATACATATCTAATAAATTATTATATAAAATAATATGCTAAACCCAGTCTATTTAAATCTTGATATCAATAGCAGTATTATATTAATGCTTTAATTTAGGCCATAAAATTATACAATGCTGCCAACACTTCAGGGTTTTAATTTATAATTTACTGGTTCTAATCTATTTGATTTTAGAGATTGTGTTTAGTATATTATAAATTTAAACCCAGAAGTTGGTTTTATCCTACATATATGCTTTGTTTTAACGTGTTATATTTTTTCAACGTCTATATAAGAAAAGGTCGTAACACTTGTGTAATACATTTTTCTCTACTTCTCTCTTTTCATGAAGATAATAAAAATAAAAAAATATTTCACATTATTTTTTCTTATAAATAAAAAAACTTACTATATTACTTTAAATATAGTCGAAAATATTAGTAATACTTAAAAATTATTTAACATGAGTCATTTAAGCCTTTCTACTTCTCCTTTACCTTCCTGAAATGAAAAAAGAAAGGACTATTGCTATGCTGAAAATTATCTGATAAAGGTAATACAAACTTGTTAGATTTTATATCAGGTATAAATTTGTAGCATATATGTATATTATATGTAACTTCATACATAATCAGCCTTATTGTCTACAGAAGCTTTTTTTTTGTTACTTTAATAGTTGATAAAATAAAGGTGATATGAAATGAACTAAAAAGCCAGAACAATAAACTTGATAATTTTATCAAAAAAATCTGAAAAAGGCCTGCTTAATAATACCCAATAGCAATAGTGACAACAACATCAGCATCAATAACAACAGCAATAATAGCAGCAGCAACAACAGCACCAATGACAGCAGCAACAACAGCAATCACAAAAGAAGAGGCAGAAAAACCAGAAAAGCATCTAAAAAAAAGTGCTGAGAAATTTCTTCTCAGACAAAAAAGTTATTAAGACTATAGAATCATAAGTATTTATATTTATTTAGCCTATAACAAATATTGAGTTACTTTATTTCTTATCAGCAAATAAGATTTTAGATGTTTTAATATATTTTGATTTATTAAATTTAATGTCAATATGAATATTGGGTGTTTTATATATTTGATTTATTGTTTTTTGCTGATATAAATATTGGGTGTTTTCATATATTTATTTATTTATTTTAATTTATTATAATAGAATGATATTATAATTTCTATTCAAGAACTTGAGGGGTCAATGCAACCAGATCTGAAAAAACATTGAATTGATTTTAATGCAGAGTTCATTTAGAACTCATTTAAAATAATAAAAAAAGATGTTCAAAGATACTGATAAATGATAATCAAATATTAAAAATAATCAAGAAGTGCTGCCAGCACCAGAGTGAAAAATATATAATGCAGCAATATCTAGAAAAAGACAAGCAGAAGTATAAAAAAAATAGAAAAAATTAAAGAATGACTGCAGTAAAAATTTTTTTTCTTTGTATTAATGTACCACCTATATGACTATCAATACAATCTTAAATATATGTTTCAAAAAATAAACAGGAAGAAAAAGGAGTTTGCCCACCTGCACCAAACAAGTAGTTAATAGCTAGCAAACATCTTTCTTACTGATATTTCAGAGTGACAGAAACTGAACAATATTAAAAAATAATCAGTAAATGTGAATACTATAGTGATAAAGTATCTGAAACAAATGATGAACTTGCTAAAGAAGAAAGATTTAACATCAACTTAATGATGACTAACACAACTATATTGTGATGATTATAAAAAAAAATGGCAATCGAAAAAAGTAATTATTCAAATAGATAATATCAGTGTTAATATAATTTATATACTTTTTAATTAAGCCAGATTTTGTTGCTATATGATGATATTTCGCTAGCACAAAATCACAATAAACTAAAAAGAAATCAGTGAAAAAGTGATGAACTCAAAGATAATTTTACACCACCAGCTGGAGCTCCTAGTTGGTGTATTTCACACAACTATGATTTTACTGCTTCTCTTGGTACTCTTGGTATAAGTTCTCTTGATGCTTGTGGCTTCAATATATATTTTTGTTTAGTGCTACTAACTCTGATTCACATTTTGTGTCTGATGCTGCTACCTCTGATACTCCCGATACATATTTTGTATCTGATGCTGTTTTATATTCTGGATCTAATCCTGTTGCTCTTGATAAAAATTTTGGGTCTAATACTGATGTCACCAATACTAATGCTGCTTTCAATACTAACTGCTCTGCTGCTCCTGATACTAATCACTCTGCTGCCTCTATACTAACCACTTTGCTGTTCTCAATACTAACTGCTCTGCTGCTCTTGCAAAAAATCAATCTGATGCTTCTGTAAAAAATCATTCTGCTACCCCAATACAATTCATGGTAAAAATTCTTCTGGCATCTATCCTAATATCATATCCAGTACAATTTTTAATATTTCTAATACAAATTATTTAAGATTTTTACTAAAACTTTTGTAATGTTTTATTCACATAATTTTTGAAAGTACCACTAATAATGATAATACTATTGTAACAGTATACAAAAATAAAAATAAAACCGTTAATAATTGTATGCAATCAATTTGGTATATATTAATAATTATTTTATAATTTAGAATTAAACAAAGATCTTAATAGTTATCTTGTCAATACTGTTAGATCTTTTAAACTACGTTATAGCAGAGGTAATTTAAGTCAAAAAGCACCTAGACATTCTAGGCATAGTATTAGAAAATAATTTATTTTTAATATATTTAATTTATATTATATATTTATTTAGCTATTAATTTATGTATATATTATTTATAAAAGAAATAAATATATTAAATAATAAAAATTAAAATATCATCTTTTAATTATATATTGGGAATAAATAAAAAATAAAATATCTTAAAAACTTTAATATTTATTTAAATTATATCAATATTGTTTTTAATATTACCTAATAAAAACAAATTTACTAAAAAGTAGATGTTGGGATATTAAAGAAATCTCTTTAGTTTACTGCTATAATTTGCTCAGATCAGTAGCAAAACAAATAGATATCAGGATATTAAGAGTTATCTATTATTTACCTTTTATATTACTATAGTCACTAATATTGATAGCAAAATAGGTATATATTTGTTATATAAATATTAATATCAGGATAATTGATATTTATCTTAAATATACCAATATTCATCTTTTATGCTGCTATAGATCTGCTAAATATATATAACAACTAGATATATAATTATCAAATAACAGATCAAGATCAATATATTAATAGATATTCTTTATTTATCTAATATTTATTTTTTATTTTATACTAGTTTTCATTCTTTATATTACCTTAGATCCACCAAATAACTATAACAAGCCAGATTAAAAGTAGACACATAAAAGATAAATATCAGAATATAAAAAGGTACTCTTTATTTACCTGGTATTTATCTTGAACATATCAATACCATCTTTTATACTGCTATAGATCTGGCAAATACATATAGCAACCAGATAGATGATTATCATATAAAAGATCGATATTAGAATAATAATAGATACTCTTTATTTATCTAATATTTATCTTTTATGCTGTACTGGTATCTATTCTTTATAGTACTATAGATCTGCCAAATAACTGTAACAAACTAGATTAATAATGAATATATAAAGGATAAATATCGGGATAATTAAGGGTAAAGTGAAGGATCTACATTTCTAATAGTAATCATGTTACTAAATTTTTTTACAATAACATTCAATTGAAATCTGGTGATGATTATATGTTATTTATATTGTGTAACTTAGGCAAATTTTGTATAAGTTAGGCAAATCAAAATAGTAAAAATATATGAAAATCAATTTTTACTATATTTGTCAAGTAATTACTATTAAAAATAAAGATTGTTCACCCTATCTTTAAGAGATACTGGTATGTATCCTTTATATATTTATTTAACCTATATAGGCAACCAAAAGTTGTACATATGGCTAAATGTACTTTCATTAACCAAGAATGTACTAAAATATCTAATAAAATTTGCTCTTCCGCAACATTGTGAAAGTTATAAAAAAAATAAGATTGTAAAACTTAATAATTGTTCTAAATCATAATGAAATCAGATTAAAATAAAATAATAGTTTTCTATTTGGTCTCCTAAAATCTACTTAAATTTGTTTATTATAAAACTTACTTATGAACCCTAATTCTAACTCTAAAAAAATACTAAAAAAGTGTATATCAATATTTTGTATTTTGATGGCTTGTCTATTTTATACTATTTCTTTTTTTATTTTAATCTAATTTTATTTTAATTGATAATTCTTCAATGAACAGGAGAATAATTATAGTGTAACATAACATAGTTTTATATATAAATTACTATAGACAGAAATCTGAAAAATTTCTTAAGAAATATAGTGATTCTTCAAAAAAAACTTTTTTGTACTAAGTTAATCACCTTTGAGTCTCTAAGTAAAGTTGTAGAGCTCATCAAGGTGAATCTAACAGTGATTAGATAATCCAAATCGGTTTAGTAGATGCCAAGATATCTTTAAAAACATTTTGCCAACTATATAAAATTTTTTAAAGAAATTTTATATAGTTGGCAAAATGTTTTTCGAAGATATCTTGGCAACTACTGAGCCAATTTGGATGATTTAACCACTCTTGATGAGCTCTACAACTTTACTTAAAAACTCAAAGGTGATTAATTTAATATGAAAAAGAAAATTTCCAAATTTCTGTCTATAGTAATTTACATATAAAACTGCATTATGTTACACTATAATCATTCTTCTGTTTACTGGAGAATCATCAATTAATCTATTACAATAATTAAAAAAAGAACTATTATAATTATTATTTAACTTTTGCTACTTTAATTTAATAATTATTAATCTATTAACTATAACAATAAATCAGACTTAACAATTATAATAATTAATCATGTGCAATAGTCTATTTTTGTGACTTTAATATATAGTTGATCTCAATATTTAATTTATAAAATTGATTTTATTCACTTTTCTATATTTGTATACCTATATTAAACATTTTTTATTACTATATTTAGTTCTTATTTTATTTTTATACTCATAACTTATTTCTTATAACAATTTTATACTATAATTAATTGAGATTATATAAGGCATAATCAGTCAATAATCTAGTCCAAATAGAATAACATATGATTCTACTAATTTCTTTTTTCAACCTTAATTGACAAATAATTCTCTAAAGTGATTTTGAAGCTACAACTTGGCTTTTGAATATGAAGTATCCATTTATTATTGATGGTTGCTAAACCTAAGAACAGTTGATGTTATGTTCAACATTCAAGGAGAAGTTCTTGTTACACTCAACAATATTGTTATCTCAAACTTGGAAAACTCATGTGATTGATCCGAGAATATACAAACAAAGATGTTGCCCTGATATGGATGTCCCAAATTGATGGTTATTATATGAGAATCACGGAGTTTGAGACTTAGAAGAGTAATTATGATAGAATGAGCAAAAAGAGAAGAGTAAATATAGAGAAAAGGGTAGTTATAGAAAGGGAGTCATGTCGTCAATAGAGTAGTTTAATTAATTTATGTGTATCGTATCCTGTATTTAAAGACCCAAGTTTTTGCCTTCGATCTCATATATTTGAAAAAATTCTCTTATACACTTATCGAATTCTCATTATTATCCTATTGTTATCTTTTTATTGCATCATTACTTAAACCTTCACGGATCGCTTTATTATATTGTTACCTTATCGTGAACACATCTTTATGATTTCATCATACTTATTTTTTTATTAACTTACAATTATTGTCGGCAGATCAGAAATTTGGAATTTCTATTTAACCTCCTTATGCTTGTTTACCATCAATTCTACCCCTAAAGCTGACCCCTAACTCTAAAAAAAAGCTAAAAAAATGCAGCCCAAAATTTTGTATTTTTTTGGTGCTATTTTGCTTTATATAAAATTTCATTTTAATATGATTTCATTTTAATCTGCCACAATTATTACAGCTATCGTTTTCACTTAATTACACAGTATAACCGTCGTTATCTCAATCTTATTTACTTTAATGATATTATCGGGCATCATTATTACAATACTCTTAAAATTATTTACTGCTATCCTTTATTCTGACAATTACCCGATATTTATTAATTCAATTTGTGATTAAGAATTATGCACTACGATATTATTCAATGAATGACTTGGCTTAAGATGAATGATTGAGATATATCACTATAAATAAGCAGTAGTGACGGCGGTGAATGCACTTCAAAAAGATTTATTTTCTTTAATCAAGCAATATCATAAGAAAAATGATTATTTTAACACACCTAAAGTTTGGACTTCTATTCCTTGCTCTTGGAGTACTACTATCATGCGATTTGGCTTCGCCTCAATGGACAAAAAGATTGAAACATGGAGATGTTTCTAGACGTCAAATTAAATTTAATCAACCGAAACTTTGTGATGACGTTACACAGGTACATTTATGGCTTATATTTATTTAGAATAATGAATCTTTGATTATTATTTAATACTAAATTTTTGAATATTAGTATTCAGGATACATTGATGTTAGCAGCAATAAACATTTATTTTTTTGGTTTTTCGAATCGAGAGGTAATCCTGCCCAAGATCCGCTTGTTCTTTGGGTATGTAAATACAGTAGCTTACAATTTTTTTCATCTGTTAAATCATTAATTGAAAATTTAAATTTATTAAAAATAGCTTAACGGTGGCCCGGGGTATGACAATTTTTAAAGTTTTAATTATAACAATCTTCATAACAATATATATTTCTCAAAATTTTATACCATATTAATAATAAAATCGACTGTATTAAATTAGTAATGGTTTCACGGCTTATTGGAAGTGCTGATACGTAATAAAAAGGTAGAGTGGATGCAGGAGGTGTGATATCAATACAGGGACTCTGATAGAAAAGAGGACGATGCAAACCCACAGTATTGACACCATGCATAACCCTTTATTGCGCCTCACTTTATGCATCTACGCCACATTTATATTATGTTATCACAATTCTCATGATCATCCTGACGTATAGATAGCAGTAGAATTCAAAAATAGAAATTTTAACAATGAAAATGATTACGTAGTAATCATTATTATAATAGGACTTGGCGAAACCCGCGTTGTAAATTAGTAAAATCCGCTACATAGATCACGTTAGGGTGAAATCCGCGTTTAGCTATGTTTTTATTACGCCAAAGCGAATTTCACTCCCATGTGATCTACGTAACGGATTTTACTAATTCACGGCGCGGGTTTCACTCTGTCGTATTATAATTTCCATTTCGAATTCTACCAACATCTTTATCCTGGCAGACTCAGAGTCGCAGTTAGCTCCCGTAGTAA